ATACCATTACAGAGGACGGATCAAGTGACCACATTGTAACCTGCAATTCTCACCACGGTAAACTACCATATCATACCGTGCAGAATAGAATATCTCATGGGAACAATGGTTGGAGCTTCTTAACGTTCGATTAGATTCCTCCAACGAGTTAGAGATTTAGTATCAAACACGAGTGTGAAAAATCTTAACACACACAGAACAGAGATTGCATATTTTATAGTGTTTATAGTAGCATGATAAATTAGTGAGCGTATCTCAAAACTAATTCCCTACTATGAGGTGACTCGCAATGGCATTTTATACAATTCATTTACATTTTGAAAACTCATTTTTATTTTATAATCCCTTTTTTAACAACATTGATTTTCAGTAAAATCTGATAAAAAATGTGCTTCAAGTGCAAAATACATATTCACCTATAGTTCAAAAGTCAACAAAAACGAAAATGTATTTTAAAAATGAAAACGGATTTTGAAAACGAAAATGGATTTTGAAAACAAAAATGGATTTAAACAATTTTTTTTAATCAAAAGCAGATCTCAAAAACGAAAGTGGGGTTTAAAAATCGATTATTAAATGGTTGAAAAGGAATTATAAAATAATTTTCAAAATATAAATGAATTGTAAATATGGTTTTAAAAAATACCATGTTGTGAGCCACCTAGGTTGCCATACCTATCGTTCGATGATTGTACGAATGGCAAGTAGATGGAAAGCAAATAAAATTGAATTTTGAACCTCACTGCGTAATATGAATAATTATATTATGTTTACTCCAGCGGCAAACCTCCAATTGTTCCACACGCGCGGGCACGTGTTGATGTCGATAGTGGTCCCACAACTTCCATATATCAGGGCCTATGAGCCTGCTCACTTTGTAGGTTCAGCTCGTATGCTACGCATTCCGTCATTGGTCACTGTTCTTGGCGTCTCGCCGATCTTACTAACAGTATCCAATCAGGGAACTTGTTACCAAACCGTTCCATGTAATACAGAGGACGCTGGTCGGTACTCCATACTTGTTATTTTACACCCTCGGCGACCAGCGATTTTTATATTCATCGTCCTCTACTGTAGTCTGCACTAAATTTCTGAATTACATAGAAAATCTAAATGTCCTGATTTCTGCTGTTTAAATATGCACTATGAGTATGAAACATTGACACCTATAATATGTGCAGTTATTAATTGGCTGGGAAGATATTATAACACTAAGTGGCATCAATCATACGTAAATATTGCTTAATTCCAATTTACTTCTGGATTACAGACGATTAGAAAGATGCAACGCTTAAAACACTTGATTTTACCACATTATACACTACAATGTCACACGAGAAAATGAAATTACGATTGAGAAATATAATTAATCATATTTTGTACGGAAGAATGCTTTTCTTAGATATGAATACATTGTTCGTAGTTACAATAAAACTTAATTCGAATAGTATAAAATCTAAAGAGGTCTTTCATTATCAGTTTGATATCAGTATATGCTTTAATTACTTATTGACAGCATATATTTCATCAAATCATTGGCTAGCCGATTTATTTCTACATGCATATGAAGCAGAGTTTCTTCAAATTTTTAAATTTAGCCGTTAGAATGAAACATCATGACTCTGGATTCTGTGAAAAATCACAATCAGATATACGGGTGATGTTAATTCCATAAAAATACAAAGTTTAATGGTGATTTTCCAGCTATGTATTCTTCAAAACTGACAGTTAAAAACAAACAAACAAACAAACAAACATGACTTGCTGCTTCATATCTTGATATATTAAACGTGACAATGCTGCATGGTCTTCTACCTAACAGAATTATGATAGAAATGATCATAACTTCATAAACGTCCCACACCACAATTCCAAATTCCTGTCACGCCGGCCTGGGGTATATCACAGTAGATCTGTTATAGTCGAGCATGGATAAATCGCTGATCACTGATGTCAAATATAATTGTTTTACCGATTTTCAATTCACCTGGCATCATTACTTGATTCGTCTCTAGGAAGTCTATGTATCACTCCCTGAATCAATTGTCCCTTTTTTCTGGAATTGTAAATACGCATGTGATTTACCTGTTGCTAGAGTTTTTCTATAGACGTTGATTCATTCCAC